CCATCATTGTTGTTTGGCGGGCCCGGGCTGGGGATTCAAACCCGCCACCTTAGGTGTATGTGGCTAGTGCCTTAGCCGCTTGAGCCACAGGCGCTGAGCCCAAATGAGTTCTTTAACTTGTCCTATACCCCAGCACAAAGGTGAGAGGCTGACAAATGAAATGGTTTCCACCTTAAGTCCCAGCTCAGCACACCACTTGTGATTTCATCTTTCTACTAAGTATCTGAAATGGTTTTTATTATACATTAAATACTGGTAAATGTTGGGTTTCGTTCTAGGTTTCCTCTGGTCCATCTATTGCTTTTGTCTCTGTCCCACGACGCTAGCGCAAGCAGAGGATGGAACAATTATCTTCCCATCCTTTCTCTAAGGCAACTTTCTCATACTGTACAGAATGGTAACAGCCTAGGGGATGGGGATGGTCCTGTGAATTAGTCTTCATCTGTGTCACTAGGGCCCACGTACTGGCAGACAGCATCGTAGTGAAGCTCCACCACCTGATTTTCTCTCTGTAGCTGCACCAAAGCCTGGCTCCGTGCTCTGTCCCGGCCCAGTAGATGTCCCACCTGGAGTAGGGGTAGGGTAGAGTAAACAAGCAGAAAAAACAGCCCAGACTCTGGGACAGCCCCTGAAAGGCCTCCAAACCTCCACTTCCAGGTCTGCAACTCACCCTCCCAGCGTGGGAGCCAAGTACCACCATCACACGGTCGCCCTCTGCCTTAGGAACTAGGGTTTCCAGCATGTCTTCCCTCAGGCCTACAGATGAGGAAGAGAATAAGGCCTGCATCAAGGACCAGCCCAGCCAGTGTCCTTTCAGAAGGGCCTTTCCTATCTCCTTGGAGCTACTCTACACCCTGTTGATAGAGTCCCAGCACGTCCATTTCACAGATGAAGAAACCTAAGAATTTTACAGAAATGACTGTTATAAAGGCAACATTTACATATAGGGGTACTGGTACTAACAGGCACCATTTGTTGTGGGCATGTTGTAGGCTCTCTGCATTGGGAGCTCAATAGCACCCCACCACAAGGTACCAGTCATAAGAGGGAGAAACAGGAACTCTACACTAATTTGATAGATGGGGATAGTGGGGCTCAGATAATCACCATCATGGAAGTGTCTGACGTTCTGTAAGAGGAGACTGGGCCTTGCAAAGAAACTAAACTCTGGCCAACCTCCCAGCCTTGCCTGGGCTAGGCTCTTGACCTAAGACACCTATCTCAAATAGCCTCCAGGATGGTAATGCTCCAGCTGCTATTGTTTACACTCACCTTCCAGGACCAGGCCTTCATCTGTCCGACATACACAGGTATCTGGACTCAGGACATCTTCAATTGTCATCTGGGAGACATGTCGGGGGATGGGGGATGTGAGATGTTGACAGAGTTAAGGGGGCCCAGTCCTGAGAGAAGAAGGGGGCCCAGGCTGCCAGGTTCCCACCTTGGTGTTGTAATACTGGCCACCTTTGTGCAGCTTGTCCACAAACCGCACATGCAGGTCCCTGTGCAACCAGTGCTGTCTCCTGGGGGCTGCTTTCTCACCCTTGGCTGCAGGCTCATCGTGTCTGTGGAGAGGAGCCAGCAACAAACTTAGCTCTTCTTTTTTTTTTTTTTTTT